TTGCGTAATCTCATCCACTCTGTTCTGGATCCCCATGGCAAGTGCAAGGATAGTAACCATCACGCTCTACCGCACTCATCTATGCGAGGGGATTAGCTTCGGGCCTAAAAGTACAGAGCACTTTACCTTGCTACACGAAATCAACATGTCGTTCTGCGCTGGTGTGAGCTTGAATGATCTTCCAACCTGCCGCAGCAGCTGCTCGGTATTCTCATTGATGGAACGCAACATTGAGCTCCGCGGGACAGCCGATGGTTCGCTGGAACCACTATCTCCGGACAGGGGCAACGTATCATCGTTCGAGTCACTATCGTCGTCTTCGGGGAGAGAGCTTCGTTTTCTCTTTGTAGATGGCCGGATGTCAACCTCAGGACTATCTTCGGCATCCATGGCAGCAAAGAGTCGGTCCTTTTCGAGACCAGCAGGTGAAGAAGGCATGGTGGTGAACGATTGAGAAAAGGCGCGACGAAAATTTTGCCGCCCGGTGGCGCACAATATGCGCATCACATGAACTCATCTCCAATGCCTTCCTGTGTCATTTCAGGTCGTCGATGGCCAGCATTGTGTTCAGTGCCCCCAAGGTAGGCTCACAGCAGGTGAGGTGCCAGCATTGACACCTGTCAAAATGTCAATACGTAGCATACATGTATGACAATGCAATCTGAGTTCATACCAATGCTCCTGCTATCTCGCCCAAGGCGAGACTTTATCTCAGACAGAGACACCCATCTCTTGACCAAGCCATGCCAGCTACTGGCGGCCCGCTTCCTGTATGTAAGTTGAAATCCAAAACCAAGTCAGTGCGAGTATTGAGGTGTCCCCATAGTTGCAGAGGTTTCACCGGATGGCCAGAAGATCCGGTGCAGGATTTGCGCCGAGATGGGCGGTCCACGTTCAGCACCTTGGCTCAAGCGAAAGAGCTTCGTGTCAACACATCTCAATAGTGCTGCTCATACAAAGCTTGCTGCAGCAAACAAGCATAGCATTGAGCGACGTCGTGCTACAGAAGATTTACTTCGAGATGAAGCTCATCGAGAACTTGAGACCTCCCACCAGTCTCTTCGCAATACTGCTCCTGCACTGTTGGATTCATTTGCTCAACACTCCTCAGTTGGTGGTAAGCGGGACCAACGTACAATTCCAGAAGATGAAGCCCGCATCATGGCCGAGTTTGACTCCCCGAACCTTGACCTTGGCTTTGGGCCGGATGCTGCGATGGACTTGAGAAAAAGGTGGGAGCGCGAGGTAGAGAATATGGACTTGTATCGTTCTTCGACAGACATCCAGAACTCAGAGGAGGAAAGCCTATGGCAGGCGCTTGATGATGAGGATGATATCCTCGCCGAAGTTCTGCAAAATAACCGTCAGCAAAACCTGCATCTACGATATACTACCATGCACATTACTGACATTGTCCCAAGGCCCTAATTCACCGACACTTGAGGATGTTCGAGCAACTTTGGGCAATGCACCACCACAGCGCAACAACGAATGGTTCCCATACGAGTCGCGAACGGTAGGTCATAGCAAGCTCCCTAATGGGTTGTCAGATGATTGATCTGTTACAATAGATGTTCTTACTTGATCTTCTGGATAGTTTGCCACGTATCCGGCTCTCTGATACATCGATGAGGCTGGTGTTGTGGGTTATGAAGGAGTGCAGCGCACGCGATGTGCCCAGCCTCAACGCGCTTCGCCAAGCTCAGGAGCGTGTCTCAAAACAGACTGCTGTCTCCTCACTCGAGTACAAGTCAGCAAAGGGCAACATTTTCTATGTACTTGATCCACGAGAGATTGTTAGTATTGTGAGTTAGCATCATATTTCCGACCGATAGCAGGATATTGAATACACTGACACTTTATCAGGATTGGTCGACCCCGAAGACTCGTAGCTTCATCCATGTGTACCCTGAGGTCCCAGATGGACCAATCACCGATTTCTGGCACACTGGGAAGATGCACGCCGGCTACGACCTTGATATGCTGACCCCCATGTGGGTATCCGACACGCACAACGGGAGACACTACTACACAAAAGAGTTTGCCCAGCTTCACGATGGAACATTCGTGATTCCAGTTCGATGGGTTGTGATGAAGGGGCAGATGTCTGTTGATGTTTTTGAGGTTGATACCGAGGGCAGCGTAAGTCCTCATCCTTCTCCGATCATGCGGAAACTCGTGTTGAGAAACTATAGCATGTTCTTTCCATCAGCGCGCAGATTATGACTGTGCCAGTGTCAGATTTGTGCTATAATCTACATGATCTACAGCACCGGCAGTCAGTTCCCGAGTGTGATGGTGATTATCGTCGCCAAAACATCTGTCATCTGCTCTAATAATCCTTTCTTAGATTCGGTTCTACAGTGTGACCAGATCAAGACGTTCCTGCATCATCACCCTCACCTACCCAATCCTCTTCGCTTGCTGGCCGGGGGCGACCCCTTGTACTCGAGCTTTGTGGACTACTGGGGTGATGACGTGTCTGGGAACCGATCAAAATCCTTCAACAAACACAACAATGCGTATATAACCCACCGGAACTTACCTCGAAAGTTACTACAGCAAGAATATCATGTCCACTTCGTTTCAACATCTCAACATGCCTCGATAACTGAGCAATTCATGGCTTTCAAAGCCATTGCGGAGTACGTGATGATATCCCAATCTTGTACGTCTATTGATATCTTGCCCACAATGCAGGTCCACTCACACTGAGCCCGTCCGGGTTCACGACGCAAAAACTGGAGGGCATGCGAAGCTGCGTATATTTGCCAACAGCAACCCTGCCGACAACCCCATGCAGAGTGAGATGAGCTCTCATATTGGCGGCGCAGGGAACTGCAAATGTCGAAAATGTAAAGTGGGAGGAACAAAGAGGGAGAAAGAGGGACTCGAGGTCTATCATTCACTCTTTGAGGTTTGTTGTTTGATCATCGTCTCGGGTCTAGCTCTCATCTAATCGCCAAGGGAGGTGAACCTCGCACCGCACAAGATACTCTGCGCGAAGTCTGGATACAGCTTGAGAAAGCATGTGAAGGTGTGATGCTACCGGTCAAGGAAAGGCAGACGGAAACTGGCGTGAAAGATGCGTACGCCCAGCACTGGGTAGAGCAACTTATAGCTAGGTTCAAGCAGATGCACGCCGAGGACCCGGCCCGATCTCGTGAATCAATCGTGCAAGAGCTGAAGGTTTGGCTCCATGAGCACGCCCATGATGTATTGAATCCGTTTCTTACGATGCCAGGTCTGCTTGTTTTATGATATCTACTCCCTCATCGTGCTGACCATTCTCTTCGCAGGGCTTGACGTGAATCGTGATACTCCGATTGAACTCCTCCACACCGTACTGCTTGGCCTTCTGAAGTATACATGGCACTGGTGTCACCCAACTTGGAAGGACGACCAGAAGAAGTACTTCTCCCTTCGCCTGGCGTCGACCGACACAAACGGTCTTTCCATCCCAGCTATACGAGCGGATTATATCATGCAATATGCTGGTTCGCTCATTGGCCGGCAGTTCAAGATCCTTGGGCAAACGGCGAGCTTCCACACATACGACATTTGCCCGTCGAAGCTTCATTATGATCTTTGGAAGGCTTCCGGCGAGCTGGATGCACTTCTTTGGTTCCCGGAGATTGATGACTTGGACGACTACGTGGTGCGAATGAGCACTTTCTCTCTGATGTACACCATACTTACATTCAGGCTCTCAGACGAACATCACTGTCGCTGCCGGAAACGTAGTCGATATCATTGCGGCTATAGATCCTTCCAAGATCGTTGAGAAGACGAAGCTTCACCTCCTGGCCGCCCACCTTGAAGAGGACATTCGACGCCATGGAAACCTTATCAACGTCATCACAGAGTCGCAGGAGTCGTTCAACGCCATATTCCGGCTCAGCTCGATTTACTCAAATCATCTCGCGCCAAGTCGGGATATTGCTCGAAGCCTGTCCCGCATCGAAGGGATGAAGCGACGCCTGGGCGGTGGATACTGGCTTGTGGAGGAAAGTGAAGGCTGCAACTCATGGGTCTGCTCAGGGCCGGGCGTGCGCGGATACATGAAGACTCGACCGAGCATCCAACGTCACCTTGGATGGTCTGAGACGGAGCTGATGGACCCCGGTGAGCATTTCCGATCCCTTTTGAGGGTTTGGGGTGTGCCACGCTCATGTTCCTGCGTATGAAGGGACTGCCAAGTACATCCCGATGGCCCAGGATGGGCATAAACGACGCGCGCGACCGATGCTCAAATTTTCGACACAAAAGCTGCGCATGCCATCAAT